ATATGTATTGCAGCACTAGCGAGCCTCGAATCTCACTGAGGCGTCGGGGGCATTGATGCCGTCTCTTTCGACGCGGGCGCGGGTCCTTTGGTTCCAGAGATCTCGAGGATTTGTGTTGAATTCGGGTGAATATAGTGGGGTGCGGAGGAGTCTGTTCGATTCGGCCCCCGCCAATAATCCAGGTCACATTCTCTTTTTCAGAGTCCCGAAATGGAATACGCTTGTGGATCTCACCCGTTTTGCATCGGATTAGTTCAACTGTGCCTCCTCACAGTAGGGGAATTTTTGTAGCCGGACAGAATGCTATTTGTTCTGGAATCGCATGAGGTGGAATTTGGTGCGTAAAAGGGAGTGCACAGCAGAAGGAGAGAGGCGGGGTAGCACACGGTGTGCACCGGGAGCAAATAGTGTAGCGTTCCAATGACGAGTAGCGTCCCGGAGGCGCCCGTTCGACTCGGGCCCCCGCCAATAGTCCAGTACATTCTCTTTTTCGTCGCTTGCTCTTTCGCTATGATGTATCTCACCACTATTTGTACCTTGACTGTTGAATTCTATTTCCGTTCTGGAATCTTGCGAGTGGAAATGCTGTGCATAAAATGAGGTGCGCAACAGAGGGAGAAAGGCGGGGTAGCACATGGTGCGCACCGGGAGCAAATGACATAGTCCACTCACCAGACGTACCCCCCGGAAGCGCCCGTTCGACTCGCCCCCCCCCCCCCCCCCCCCCCATCAGCTACTCGCATCGTTCTTTATCTTTGTTCAACCGTCGCTCATGTGCCCAACCCGCAGTGCAGTCGCGAATCGCCAGACAAGCCGGAGGAAATTGTATTGAAATTATTCTTTGGCACGGGGCCCTGGGTTCTCAATCTCGAGGATGTGTCTTGAATTCGGGTGACTGAGACTACGCGGAGGTGGAGAAGGGAGGGGGAAGGCGGGGTAGCACACGGCGTGCACCGGGAGCAAATAGTTGGGTGCGCTTATTACATCCCGGAGGAGTCCGTTCGATTCGGGCCCCCGCCAGTAGCTTGACGAGTTTCCACTTTTTTCTTACTCTCGAAATAAAACCCTATGCTAAACCTCAACACCGTTTTCCATCGCATCCTGCTAGTTTGGGTCCCGTACACCGGCGGTCTTTTTTTTGTAGGTTGACTGTTGAATTCTATTTGTTGTCTGGACTCGGAATCGGATGCGTTGAAATGCGGTGCATAAAACGAGGTGCACAACAGAGGGAGAAAGGCGGGGTAGCACACGGCGTGCGTCCATGAACTGTAAAATTCTAGTCTTCTACGTTTACCGGAAGGAGCCCGTTCAATAAAACCCTATGCTAAACCTCAACACCGTTTTCCTCCTCACCTGTTTCTATCGCTGGGCCCGTTCATTGGCGGACTTTGTTTTCTGTAGCTTGATGGTCGAATTTTATTTGTTGTCTGGACTCGGAATCGGATACGTTGAAATGCGGTGCATAAAACGAGGTGCACAACAGAGGGAGAAAGGCGGGGTAGCACATGGTGTGCACCGGGAGCAAATAGCGGTTTGTACTAGTAACACGTAGCGTCCCGGAGGAGCCCGTTCGATTCGGACCCCCGCTATATTAACTTGGGTTTCCCCTTTTTTTTCTTCTTATTTTCGAAATAAAACCGTATGCTGGATTCCTATACCCATCTTCCTTCAGATTATGTCCACTGTGGTCCCGTACACTATCGGGGTTTGTATACATACCCGGACAGAATGCTATTGTTTGTTCTGGACTCGGAATCGTATGAGTTCCATGTGGTGCATAAACAAGGTGCACAACGGAGGGCGAGAGGCGGGGTAGCACACGGTGTGCATCGGGAGAAAATGCGATTTTTGAAACATAGCGTCCCGAAGGAGTCCGTTCGATTCAGGCCCCGCCAATAAGGATTGACAAGCCTCACTCTTTTTCGTCGGTTGCGCAGTGTGATGTATGAGAACACGATTCTCCGCTAGCAGGCTTCCAGCTATGGCGCCGTACATGTATTTCACATATGCCTCCTTCGATTTGCGGTGTTAGTTTCGTAGCTCGACTGTTTCGTTCTAGGATGTTGCGAGTGCCACTCGCAACATCCAACATTCCCACTCGCCGAGTGGGAATGTTGTGCATAAAATGAGGCGCAGATGGGAGGAGGGGAGGCGGGGTAGCAGACGGTGTGCCCCGGGTTCAAGTAGTGATACAGCTTTGCACGTATTCGCCCGAGGAGCCCGTTCAACTCGGGCCCCCACCGTAAACGGTAAGAACCCTGATTTTTTGTAGGCTCTCGCCAGTACACGCATATAGGGTGTGACACAGGTGGATACCGTGACCCTAGCACTCCTTACCATACCCGTGACCCGTGACACCGTACCCGTGACCCACCCGTACCCGCGGGTACAGTAAATAACCGCGGGTTTGCGAAAAACCTGCAGTTATTGATACTGCGGTATACTGAGTATGTTTGACGGGTTATAATGGTCTGGGACGTATTCATAGCAATGTCTATGATTTTCTACGAATTTTCCCGGTATTATTCAGTGCCCAGATGCCCCAGTACGAGCCAACATCACTGCATCATGGCCTATTTGTATATGTTAGTTTCTGGGGAAAGGCACTGCGCTTTCGTCCAAAATAGGAAGGTGATGGTTTCTCTTGCCTCCCTGGGCGCATTACAAGCTGAATATGGATCACATACTTCCTGTTAGTAGTATAGAGCTTTCCTAAGTATTTTCTAGCACCAACATCTCACTAAAAACTGGCTAATTGACACAACTCTATAAAATTGAAACAATTGGCATAAGTGGGATATAAATTGATATAAGAGCATATAAATGGATATAAAATCATATAGTAATAGTATTATCAATTTCAGATATGATTGGAAAGCTGATAACAAGCAGTAGAGGTAGAATGAGTGATTTTGCCAAATTTGGAAAACCCGCGGGTTTATGAGCATATTCACGGTATCGTGGGTTTCCCCAGCATCCGATACCTTACCCGCACCCATGACACCCGAAACCGTGACACCGCGGTAGTGCGTAACACTGTGTCACACACTACCATAACGCATACCGAAATCTCCATATATATCCTAATAGTTTTACTCTCTGCCGTTTTCCATCTTCCCTTACCATCTACCATCAGGTACTCAAGCGCAACCACAAGGGAAGCCCCTAACTTCGGCAAAGCAACGTGGTGGCTGTGCCCAACGTGGTCACCATGCTGGGTGGTGCAAGCAAACACGCACACATATACGGCTTGCGCTGCACTCTCCTTCTGCTGACGACTGGCCTACGACTCGACCTTGCAGCTTACATTTACTGCGTTTAACGACTGAAGACTCCGTTTGAAGGCGCAGTTTTGGCCAAGAAGAATTAGTTGACGAAGGATTACTTGACGAAAGAGAAGAGAAGATGCTGTTTGCCAACTTCAACCAGGACTACTCGTGCGTGTCCTTCGGGACACGCAAGGGGTACAGCATCACAAACTGTGATCCATTTGGCCGGGTATACACACAGCGTGCGTTCCATTCTTACTTGCATTTCTTACATTCTCACTTGCATGGGCTCGCTGACGCTCACCTGCAGACGACGGCGCGCGCGGCATCGTCGAGATGCTCTTCTGCACATCCCTCATCGCCCTCGTCGGCGCGCCCTCCTCCTCCTCCTCTGGCTCCAATTCCCACTCCTCCTCCGTCTCCCACTCGTCTGCGACGAATTCCGCGTCCGGCTCGGGCACCTCGCCGCGCAAGCTGCAGATCGTCAACACGAAGCGCCAGTCGATGATCTGCGAGCTGCTCTTCCCCTCCTCCATCCTTGCCGTGAAGCTCAATCGCAAGACCTTGGTGATTGTGCTGGAGACGGAGATCTACATGTACGACATCAGCAACATGCGCCTGCTGCACGTTACCGAGACCGTGCCGAATCCGGAGGGTGTGTCCCCTCCTGCCTTCTTTCCTACCTCTGTATTTATTGAGAGATGTGTCCAGCGATCTGCGCCCTCTCCCCCGCCGCAGACTACCTGTACCTCACCTACCCCGCGCCCCTCCCCTCCCCCGCCCTCGCCTCCGCCTCCTCCGCCGCCTCTACCACCTCTTCCTCTGCCGCCACCACCGCCTCCGCCGCCGGCACGACAGCGACGGGCGCAGGCGGGAGCGGCGACGTCATGCTCTTCTCCACGCGCGCACTGACGCCCGCGAACGTCCTGCGCGCGCACCGCTCGCCGCTCGCGCTGCTGAGCACCCGCAGGGTTTTTTCTTACAGCTTGACGGTTGAATCCTATTGTTTGTCCTGGCCTCGGAACCGTGTGAGTTTGAATTTCGTGCGTGAAATGGAGTGGATAATAGAGGGAGAGAGGCGGGGTAGTACACGGCGTGCTTCCGTGAACTGTCACTGTATCAAATATACACGTTCAACGTTTACCGGAAGGAGCCCGTTCGACTCGGGCCCCCGTCACTCAGTCGTCATCACGGAGTTCTTTGCCTTCTGCCTCGCCGTGAAAAAGAATCAACGTCTCTGCAAAGTATCCAATCGCTGTGCGTATATAGCCAGGGCGAGAGTGGAGGCCCAGAGGCACGGTCACGAATGGGTGAATTTCAGAGGGCCCACGCCGTCAACCGTCGTACTTGTGAATCGGCTATGTGTCCCCACCACATCCGAATCCTTACTCAGTTGCGAGATTCTGTTGCGGAGGATACTGTTGTGTAAATAGTCTTACACATACGTTAGCACATAAAATGAGGTGCAAGAAGGGAGGAACAAGGCAGGATAGCACATAGTGTGCTCCGGTTCAAATGATGTCTTCAACTCGCACGACACCCTGAATGAGCCCGTTCAACTCGGGCCCCCGCCAATAGTCTACAAGGTTCAACCTTTTTTTCGTCGCTCGATATGGAACGCGATGACGGATCTCAATGTTGTGGTTTGCCAATGTTTGGGAATCATTCTTTCTAGAATGTCGCTAGGTTGAATTGTGGTGCATAAAATGAGGTGCGCACCAGAGTAGAGAAGGCGGGGTAGTACAGGGCGTGCTTCCGTGAACTGTAGTAGTAGAAATTATACAAACAATGTTTACCGGATGGCGCCCGTTCGACTCGGGCCCCCGTCATTTCTTGCACCGTTGTTGTCCTTTTATTCCACTGTCGCTCATGTTTTTTGTTCAACTGTCGCTCATGTGTCTAAGACGTATTGCAGCGAGCCGAGGGGATGTTGTTCTATTCCCTGTGGTAGTAAATCCCGAGGATGTGGCTTGAAATTGGGTGAATGAGATGAGGTGCAGATGGGAGGAGGGAAGGCGGGGTAGCACATGGTGTGCACTGGGAGCAAATATTATTCCGGTCAGTAGCTTCCCGGGGGAGCCCGTTCGACTCGGCCCCCGCCAATGATCAAGGCCAATTCTCTTTTTCTTCCTCCCGAGATTGTGGTGCATAAAAGGAGGTGCAGAACAGAGGGAGAAAGCCGGGGTAGCACACGGCGTGCACCGGGAGCAAATAATTACTGTCGATAACGGATAGCGTCCCGGAGGAGCCTGTTCGATTCAGGCCCCTGCCAATGACAAGTTGAAGTGGTTTTTGGCGCTCTCGAAATGGACCGTTATCATAGATGACAACCGTTTCCCCTCAGATTCTTTCAAGTATGCGTCCTGACACCGGTGGGTCTTTTCTCTGCTCATGCTGAGCTTGATGGTTGAATTCCATTCATTTTTGTTGGAATGGTGTGAGATCCATGTGAAGCATAAAACGGAGTGGAAAATAGAGGAATAAAGGCGGGGTAGCACACGGTGTGCTGCGGGCTCAAATGATAAATTTGGCCAAGACGTACTCGCCCGAGGAGCCCGTTCGATTCAGTTCTCTCAACCGAGTCTCTGTTTAATCAGTTGACTCTCATGCAGATGCAATATATTTCATTCCAGATGTTTACCTAGAAGAATCTGGTCGACTCGGGTCCCCGCCATCCACGGTCAGGATCCCGGCCTTTTGGGAGGATAAGTCTCTGGATGTGCCAGCTTGGAACACCAAATCAGCACCCAAGATTATTTTCCAAGATTATTTTCCTTGGTCTTCATTCATACATCTGTTAAGGGCTGCATGGCTCGGGTCCTTCCTTTTCATTTTCCTTTCCCACTCGGTGGGATGGTCTCAGCCGTTACTCTTGCATGTTTCAAGACTCGGACATATCTGACTGTGAGAATATAGGCAACCCATCTGGAAATAAGTGCTGAAGTGGAGTTCTTTTGATGTTCACAGCAGTACTATATTACCCGAACTACAATTCAAACATGAGGTACCAAGCTGTATGGAATCAATTAACTAGGCCAGAGCCGAAGAGATACCATGTTCGCTACAGACAAAACCTAAGCTTGGCTCTTCTCAAGCACTGTATTCAAATCCTCTGCCTCCTTCAATTTCCCCAGTTTGGTGTATGTGACTGCCAGGCTCTGCATGGTGTCAACAGTGAGGGGATGAGTGTCACTCAGAACATTGGTTTGTTTACTGAGGGCCTCCACTAATAGGATCTCTGCTTCCTGCCATCTTTCCAACTTGTTGAATGTGGATCCCAGGTTTGACATTGTGCACACGGTGCTTAGATGGTTGTCCCCTAGAATATGCCTTCTCCTCTCAAGTACTACAACCTCAAGCTCCATTGCCTCCTGCAGTCGTCCCAATTTGTTGTATGTAGCCCCCAGATTTCCCATAGTATTCAGGGTGTTGGGATGATTGTCACCTAGGACCTTCCTCTGCTTCTCAAGCACCAGAACCTCAAGATGCTCAGCCTCATGCAATTTGCCTAGTTTCTTGTATGCAAATGCTAGATTTGCCATTTTTATGAGGGTTTCTGGATGAGAGGCACCTAGGACATTCTTTTCCTTATTAAATGCTAGGGTCTGAAGCACCTCTGCCTCCTGCAGTCTTCCTGCTCTTTGATATGTAACTGCTAGGTTCCTCATCATGTCCAGAGTATCTGGATGCATTTCACCTAGAATATTCCTCTGCTTCTCAAGCACAAAGAGTCCAAGCTCCTGTGCTTCTCGGAGTTTCCCCATTCTCCTATATGTCCCTGAGAGGTTCCCCATATTGACCAGGCTGTCAGGATGATCATCACCCAAAATATTTCTGAGCTGCTGACACAGACCAATCTGGATTTCCTCTGCCTCCTTGAATTTTCCGAGGTTACAATACACTGCTGCCAAATTCCCCAAGGCTTCCAAGGTTTTCGGATCACTTTCACCCAAAAGTTCCTTCCACTTATTGAGTATTGTCAACCTCAATGCCAATGATTGTTGCACTTTGCCTGTATGCAAATGTATCCTTGCAAGCCAGTACATTGCTTCAAGAGTGTCTGGATGGTCCTCACTGAGGATACTTTGTCTTTTTTCAAGAACCATCACCTGAAGCTCTTCTGCTTTGTGTGCTCTCCCAGCGAATAGGTATACTTTTCCATATTCATGCCTGAAATCTGGGATTACAGTTGAATTACCCTTCATTAGGAAGTCAATGTGGGGCAGCATCCACAGGCTAGCCAGCTCCATATCTTGCTCTGATAGTCCTGCAAGCGACATTCCAGCTATTGCAATCATGTTATGATGATACTCCTTATTGAAAGTGCTGTTTGCCCAGTCATGGACAAGGGGATGAATTGAGAATGCCCTCTTCTCTGAATCAAAGTTGAACAAGGAATAAGCTTGAAGTTCATTGGTTGTGTTGAGGAAACATATTGGATCCCAGACACCAGAGGGTCCTAAGAACTGGGAAAGCAGTTGAAGTGGCATTGCTAGCTCTTCCTGTGAAGGGCTACAAGGTTCCAAAGTGTACTTTGTAGCATTTTTGAATATATCTTCAGAGATTCCTTGATAATGGAGGAAGGAGCACAGTTTGAAGAGGCTTTTGGCCTGTTCACTGAGCTTGTCGAAACTGATTTGCCATGTGGTATACACTGTCCAGGAATAGTTATCATGGGACTGGGTAGGCCTTTCACTGAGCAGTTGGACTCTGTTAAGTTCATAGAGCTCCAGATAGCCCCAAAGATCACCAGACTTGGAGATGAATGCACCTGCTTGAATGATCGCAAGAGGAAGATGGCAGAGCACCTGGATAAATGTCAAACATAATATAAGACCAGTGAGCACCCTGACCAACCTTAACAATCCGGGTTGCAGTTTCCCTGTTGTGATCTGTGATATGTTGTGCAGAACTCCGGAGCAATAGATCCACAGCATCTGTTTCTTCCATACCAGCGACAACACAGTGTGAACCTGCATAGACAGAAAGCCCAGGATTTCGAGATGTGATGAGGATGTTCCCATGACTGCAGTGTGGGAAATAATGGTTCAGATCAATTTTGGGGTCGTCAGCATTGTCAAAGAATAAAAGCCATTCTGCCTCCTTGCTTTCCAGCCATTGAAGAGCTCCCTGGGATGAGTTTCCCACACCCTTCCTTGTGGCAATATCTTGTAACCCGGTGTTAATTGTGCCAATGGTGCTTGCATCAATCAAAAAAATGTCTGTGAATCTGAGAAATAAATAAGGCAAGTGCTCATTCACCAAGTGCATGCACTTACTGTGAAGCTGAATCTTCTATGAACTTTAGTGCAATCTGTGTTTTCCCAGCACCACCCAGTCCATGCAGCACAAAGATGTCTTGCTTTCTCAGATGCTGGCTGAAGTACTCATGCACCTTGTCCAGAATGATCTGTCTCCCTTGGAATATCCTGGTGGGAGAAGGACAGTTGTTGACAGATTGTGGGATTTCAGATCCTGACAGAGCTAAGCAAACTCAGATCAGATTGCATTATCAAAGATCCAAGAAAGTCATACCAGGTGAGACAACAGTTAAAATTTTCTGTACCTGAAAATTTGTATCCATGGTTGCCATGAGCTCAGGGGTCATCAGTATATATGTGGCTTCTTAGATTGATTAAGCCTACCATGAAATTTGACCGCACCTCCCGGATCCTATCTTGGAGTCTGCGGATCTCCTCCCAATTGCTGCTTGAGCTGACAAACTCTTTTAAACGAGAACCAAAGCCTCTGGGCACAGTGTAGCGTTGATTAATAAATTTCACCACATCTTGCAGAGACCTGGATATCATGAGAAGGTTATTATGGATGAAACTGCATTGTCCTTTACCCCTCAAGCTCCTCACAATGAGCTTTGAACTTATAAGCAGTGGTATCCCCATGCAGTGATATTTGGTCACGAAGAACAGTGATGATGTCCACGGTGTCTGCGCACAGCTCTTTCATGCTATCTCTATTCTTCTGCACTTTCTGTTGTAGCCATGATTAGAACCATTTTCTGCTGCAAACTCTGGATTACACACCTCAACCGTCTCCAATAGGAATACTGCAGTTCCCAGGACACCTTTTACATATGGAAATGGGAGAGACTCTGCACCAGCACTAATTGCCTTTGCATTGAAGATCAGAGCTGGGAGCCAATCTGAGTTATGCGAGAGGGGAGGCCTGAGTGATCGAAATTGTGATACAGGTCCCTGTTGAGAGGACTGTGATCCTGGCACATTGAGGGGGCTGCTGGTGGACATGGTAAGAGTGAGAGGTAGGGAAGCTAGATGAATTGCTCCGTTAGTTATATACACAGTGATGCAGGCAGCCTAGCAACCAGCCCAGTACTTGAATCTCATGTCACATCCTTAAATGAGATCATGGCCCATCCATGATGCTCAAATATATGCCGCTCCCACAGTATGACCTCTAGCCAACCCCAACACATATCCGTACAATTATTCCGAGACTCAATTGAAAGTTGATCAGCCTGATCGTTACTTCGTTCCCAAGCCACATCAGTCACCATAGATACCTTGGATCGAGTTCATTTGGGCTCCTGAATGATCCCATCACCACCATGTTGGAACAAACGAATGGCTATGCTGCGTTATGGCATAACGGCAAATAGTAGAATTTCTGGATGATGTGAGCGACGCCGGTGCTGTGGGTGTTGCGACTGACAGGATTGCGTATGGGTAGAGTAATAAGCCTTTACATTTGGTTTGTTCCTCCTGCTTCTGCTTCTGTTTTTTCTTGTTGAAGGTTTAGAAAATGAAGTTGAAGCCGTGGAAACCACATTGGGTGTAGGTTACCATTTCCAATT